ATACAACCACGTGTGATACGTGTCAGTTATAGCAAATACAACCACATGTGATATTTTCAGACGTAATAGCGTTATAGCAAATACAACCACACGTGGTATTTTCAGACGTAATAGTGTTATAAAAAATACAACCACATGTGAGAGACAATTTTCCTTGCGAGTTTTCTGTACTAATAGTAATAGTTGTTTATCGTTATGTTTCTTTCTGTTTAACAGCCACGTAATATCTCAAGTTATACGACTCACTTGTCTAAAACTAAGATGCGTAGTGCTATCCCAGTATATGTCTGTTTTTGAAGTCGAGGATAGATACCTGGAGAGCTGAGACAAAGGAGCCACAATTCGGCTCTTCCCCTTGCTATGACAAGCCGATAAAGGACCATTAACAACAAAGAAAAATGAGAGCAAAAATGCATGAAACGACTCGAACATTAGATTATATTCGTGTTTCTTTATTAGTATCATAACAAATTCATTACCCAGCTGAACACACGGGTCGTTAATGTAAACTGTTAGATATTTGTGGATAGAATTTTTGTAGAGATGACAAAATCCAAACTTTAAGAATTAACGCATTTCACATAATGAATCACGCAAGTCAAATTTTCAGATCTTTTGAAAATAAAATAAAAAAACCAAAACACTTATTCGTGAAGCCCGAACTCATAAATTCAACGTATCAGAAAGGTTTCTTAAGACATTCTAACAGGACAATGTCTTTAGTTTGTAAAGATCGGAAAATGGGCGTGACAATACTCCTAAAGAAAGTCAAGTTTGCCTATGGCATATAGACCTTGTGTTTTCTAATCCCAGTATTATACGCCACACACCGGAAGTTTGCCAACTGGAGGATTAAGATCGTAAGCTTTTACATAACAACAATCAATGGAGATTTGAGGGCATGAAGCTGACTTAGACCCATTTGTACCCACGTGCAGAACAGCAAACACCACGGTAAAGCTTATATCAGGTGCGAGTTTCGAAGCCACGACAGAAGAACTAGATGACAAAGGATGTTACCTATTAAGGAATATTTGTACACTTTCCTCAAATCGAAACAATACATCATGCTGCCTTAAAATGCAACGACAACCCAAATGTTTAAGGTTATACAATAAAATATCTTTACTGTAATAAGGATTTCTATCTACGGATCTGTAACAATACTGATTCAGACTGATTTCCGAGCTGATGCATAGGAAAAAAATTACAAACCAATATTTCATAATTTCTTTATCCAGCACTATTACACTTTCATAATTGTTTATCTAGCACTATTACACTTTCACTAATTGTTTATCTAGCACTATTACACTTTCACAATTGTTTATCTAGCACTATTACACTTTCATAATTATTTATCTAGCACTATTACACTTTCATAATTATTTATCTAGCACTATTACACTTTCATAATTATTTATCTAGCACTATTACACTTTCATAATTATTTATCTAGCACTATTACACTTTCATAATTATTTATCTAGCACTATTACAC